TAGAAGAAATCAATAAAGGAATAACTGAGACAGAAAAACAAATAATGAGCCAGCAGACAGAATGATGGAAATAACTGTAAAAAGGAGAATAATGAAAAAAGAATGAAAGGATATGAGGACAGTCTTGGAGACCTCTGTGAAGACATTAAATACATCAACATTTGAATTATAGGGGTCCGAGAAGAAGAGGAGAAAGAGAAAGGGTCTGAGAAAATATCTGAAGAGTTTATAACTGAAATCTTCCCTAACATATGAAAGGAAATAGTCACCCAAGTCCAGGAAGTGCAGAGAGTCCCATACAGGATAAACCCAAGGAGAAAAACACGAAGACACATACTTATCAAACTAACAAAAATTAAATTCAAAGAAAAAACCTTAAAAGCAGCAAGGGAAAAGCAAAAAATAACATACAAGGGAATCCCAATAAGTTATCAGCTGTTTTTTCAGCAGAAAGTCTTCAAGCCAGAAGGGAGAGGCAGGATATATTTAAAGTAATAAAAGGGAAGAACCTACAACAAAGATTACTCTACCATCAAGGATCTCATTTGGATTTGATGGAGAAATCAAAAGCTTTACAGACAAGCAAAAGCTAAGAGAATTCAGCACCACCAAATCAGCTTTACAACAAATGCTAAAAGAACTTCTCTAGGCAGGAAACACAAGAGAAGAAGAAGAAAAGGACCTACAAAACAGACCCCAAACAATAAAGAAAATGGCAATAGGAACATACATATTGATAATTATCTTAAATATAAATGGATTAAATGCTCCAACCAAAACACACAGACTGGCTGAATGGATACAAAAAAAGACCCGGGGCTTCCCTGGTGGCACAGTGGTTGAGAGTCCGCCTGCCAATGCAGAGGACACGGGTTTGTGCCCCGGGCCGGGAAGATGCCACATGCTGCGAAGCGGCTGGGCCCGTGAGCCAAGGCTGCTGAGCCTGCGCGTCCGGAGCCTGTGCTCCACAACGGGAGAGGCCACAACAGTGAGAGGCCCACGTACAGCCAAAAAAAAAAAAAAAAAAAAAAAAAAGATCCGTATATATGCTGTCTGCAAGAGACCCACCTTCAGACCCAGAGAAACATACAGACTGAAAGTGAGGAGATGGAAAAAGATATTCCATGCAAATGGCAATCAAAAGAAAGCTGGAGTAGCAGTATTCATATCAGATAAGCTAGACTTTAAAATAAAGACTATTACAAGAGATAAGGAAGGACACTATATAATGATCAAGGCATCAATCCAAGAAGAAGACATAATAATTATAAATATTTATGCACCCAGCATACAAGCACTTCAATACATAAGGCAAATGTTAACAGCCATAAAAGGGGAAATTGACAGTAATGCAAAAATAGTGGGGGACTTTAACACCCCAATTACACCAATGGACAGATCATCTAGACAGAAAATAAGTAAGGAAACACAAGCTTTAAATGAAATAGACCAGATAGACTTAATAGATATTTATAGGACATTCCATCAGAAAGCAGAAGAATACACTTTCTTCTTAAGTACACACAGATCATTCTCCAGGATAGATCACATCTTGGGTAACAATTCAAGCCTCAGTAAATTTAAGAAAATTGAAATCGTATCAAGCATCTTTTCCAACCAAAACACTATGAGATTAGAAATCAATTATAGAAAAAAAAAAAACTGTGAAAAACACAAACACATGGAGGCTAAACAATACGCTACTAAATAAACAAGAGGTCACTGAAGAAATCAAAGAGGAAATGAAAAAGTTCATAGAAACAAATGACAATGAAAACACGACAACCCAAAATCTATGGGATGCAGCAAAAGCAGTCCTAAGAGGGAAGTTTATAGCAATTAAATCTTACCTGAAGAAATAAGAAAAATCTCAAATAAACAAACTAACCTTACACCTAAAGCAACTAGAGAAAGAAGAACAAACAAAACCCAAAGTTAGTAGAAGAAAAGAAATCATAAATATCAGAGCAGAAATAAATGAAATAGAGACAAAGAAAACAATAGCAAACATCAATGAAACTAAAAGCTGGTTCTTTGGGAAAATAAACATAATTGACAAACCTTTAGCCAGACTCATCAAGAAAAAAAGGGAGAGCACTCAAATCAATAAAATTAGAAATGAAAAAGAAGTTACAACTGACACTACAGAAATACAAAAGGTGATAAGAGACTACTACAAACAACTATATGCCAATAAAATTGACAACCTGGAAGAAATGGACAAACTCTTAGAAAAGTACAACCTTCCAAGACTGAACCAGAAAGAAACAGAAAATATAAATAGACCAATCACAAGTAATGAAATTGAAACTACAATTAAAAATCTTCCAACAAACAAAAGTCCTGGACCAGATGGCTTCACAGGTGAATTCTATCAAACATTTAGAGAAGAGCTAACACCTATCCTCCTCATACCCTTCCAAAACACTGCTGAGGAAAATGAGCTTGGGAGTGTTCCTTCCTCTGCAATTCCTCAACAAAAAATTCCTCAACAAAATACTAGGAAACAGAATCCAATAACACATTAAAAGGATCATACACCATGATCAAGTGGGATTTATCCCAGGAATGCAAGCATTCTTCAATATATGCAAATCAATCAATGTGATACACTATATTAACAAATTAAAGAATAAAAACCGTATGATCATTTCGATAGATGCAGAAAAAGCTTTTGACAAAAGTCAACACCCATTTATGATAAAAAGAACTCTCCAGAAAATAGGCATAGAGGGAACCTACCTCAACAATAATAAAGGCCATATACGACAAACCCACAGCAAACATCATTCTCAGTGTTGAAAAACTGAAAGCATTTCCTCGAAAAACTGAAAGCATTTCCTCTAAAATCAGGAACAAGACAAGGATGTCCACTCTTGCAACTATTATTCAACATAATTTTGGAAGTCCTGCTATGGCAAACAGAGAAGAAAAAGAAAAGGAATCCAAAGAAGATCCAAAGAAGTAGAACTTCTTTTCTTTGCAGATGACATGGTACATACACAGAAAATTCTAAAGATGCCATCGAAAACTACTAGAGCTAATCAATGAGTTTGGTAAAGTTGAAGGATACAAAATTAACGCAAAGAAGTCGATTGCATTCCTATACACTTACAGTGAAATATCAGAAAGAGAAATTAAGGAAACAACTCCATTTCCATTGCAACATAAAGAATAAAATACCTAGGAATAAACCCACCTAAGGAAGTAAAAGATCTGTACTCAGAAAACTATAAGACACTGATGAAAGAAATCAAAGATGACAGAAACAAATGGAGAGATATACCATGTTCTTGGACTGGAAGAATCAATATTGTGAAAATGACTATATTACCAAAAGCAATCTGCAGATTCAATGCAATCCTTATCAAATTACTAAGGACATTTTTCACAGAAGTAGAACAAAAAATTCTACAACATGTATGGAAACACAAAAGACCCTGAATAGCCAAAGCAATCTTGAGAAAGAAAAACAGAGCTGGAGGAATCAGGTTCCCTGACTTCAGACTATACTACAAAGCTACAGTAATCAAGAGTATGGTACTGACACAAAAACAGAAATATAAATCAATGGAACAGGATAGAAAGCCCAGAGATAAACCCATGCACCGATGGTCACCTAATCTATGACAAAGGAGGCAAGGATATACAATGAAGAAAAGTCAGTCTCTTTAATAAGCGGTGCTGGGAAGACTGGACGCTACATGTAAAAGAATGAAATTAGAACATTCCCTAACATCATACACAAAAATAAACTCAAAATGCATTAAAGACCTAAATATAAGACTGGACACTATAAAACTCTTAGAGGAAAATATAGGAAGAACACTCTTTGACATAAATCACAGCAAGTTCTTTTTTGACCCACCACCTAGAGTAATGAAAATAAAAACAAAAATAAACAAATGGGATCTATTAAACTTAAAAGCTTTTGCACAGCAAAGAAAAGCATAAATGAGATAAAAAGACAACCCTCAGAATGGGAGAAAATATTTGTAAACGAAGCAAGTGACAAAGGATTAATCTCCAAAATATACAAACAGCTCAATAATCAAAAAAGCAAACACCACAATAAAAAAGTGGGTGGAAGACCTAAACAGACATTTCTCCAATGAAGACACACAGATGGCCAAAGGTACATGAAAAGACGATGAACATCACTAATTATTAGAGAAATGCAGATCAAAACTACAATGAGGTATCACTTCACACCAGTCAGAATGGCCATCATCAAAAAATCTACAAACAATAAGCGCTGGAGAGGGTGTGGAGAAAAGGGAACCCTCTTGCACGGTTGGTGGGAATGCAAATTTATACAGTCATTATGGAGAACAGTACGGAGGTTCCTTAAAAAACTAAAAATAGAACTTCCATATGACCCAGCAATCCCACTACTGGGCATATACCCTGAGAAAACCATAATTCAAAAAGAGACATGTACCACAACGTTCACTGCTGCAATGTTTACAATAGCCAGGACATGGAACCAACTTAAATGTCCATCAACAGATGTATGGACAAAGAAGATGTGGCCCATATATACAATGGAATATTAGCCATAAAAAGGATCAAAATTGAGTTATTTATAATGAGGTGGATGGACCCAGAGTATGTCATAATGAAGTAAGTCAGGAAGAGAAAAACAAATGTCGTATTTTAACGCATGTATGTGGAATCTAGAAAAATGGTACAGATGAACCTATTTGCAGGGCAGATATAGGGAATGGATGTGTGGACATGGGGGGAGGGGAGGATGAATTGGGAGATTGGGATTGACGTATGTGCACTGCCATGTATAAAACATATAGCTAGTGGGGACCTGCTGTATAGCGCAGGGAGCTCAGTTCGGTGCTCTGTGGTGACCTAGATGGATGGGATGGGGTGGGGTTGGGAGAGAGTCCCAGGAGGGTGGGGATATATGTATACATATAGCTGCTTCACTTCGTTGTACAACAGAAACTAACACAACATTGTAAAGCAACTATATCCCAATTAAAAAGAGAAAAAAATAAAACAAATAAACAGACTCACAGATATAGAAAACGAACTAGTGGTTACCAGAGGGGAGAGGGATGGGTGGAGGGGCAAAACAGGTGAGGGGCTTTAAGAGGTGCAAACTACTAGGTATAAAATAAATAAGTTACAAGGATGTAATATACAGAGCAAGGAATATAGTCAATATGTTATAATAACTCTGTATGGAGTATAGCCTATAAAGCCATCAAATTACTATGTTGTATACCCAAAACTAAGATAATACTGTAAGTCAACTATACATCAACTTGTTAAAATGATACCAAATTTATATGATAAAATATTTCAATTTTATTCAGGGAAATTCATTTTTATATTTTTAATTATGGTAGAGAATGGTAGAAATGACTAAGTCCCCATATCGGAAAAAGCTTTTCTCTGCTGATTGTCACTCTAGGATAAAAACTGAAAAGTTCAAGTGTAAAAGCAACATGATCAAAGGAAAAGGGAAGAAAACTTCATGGAGTATTTGGAAAGAACAGTGACAAACCTATTTATGTTGGTATGAGACAATCTTAGGGTAGGCAAAGAACATCTGAGGATATTACACTTGATTCAGAAGGAATCCTTGTTACAGGGAAGAAAAATGTGTAATGTCTTCAAGCTGATTTCTAAATTCTAAATGCATTCTCATATATTAATTTTATTAATATAAACACAGTGAGAGTTAGGGCATGATATTCAATGTAATAGAGATGAAGAACCATGACTAAGAAACACCAACTGCCCCACATCACTCAGCTGACCTATGGTCTTTCCAGAGCTCTGCTCTTCTTCCACTAGTTCACGTCCTGTTAATTCTCAGGGCATAATGGACACAGTACTTTATGAAATCTATTCTGGAAGTATCATACAGGGAGGATTAAATAGAAGCAAACTGAGAATCAGGAGACTCCTGAGATACAGACTGCAAATGCCACGATGCCAAAGACTACATGTGAGATTGAAGGAGGTTGGAATGAGCCATTAAAAGAAGAAAATACAGGACTTAACAACATGAGTAGATTGAAGAAGTCAAAGGATTAGAAGACACCACTAAAATTTCCAACCAAACAATCTGGTACAAATAATACCAACTGCATAGGGAAGATAATTTACAGATATGAGAGAAGGGAGTTAATGAATTTGATTCTGGCATATACCATGTATTTCAGAAAACAGCAAACTATACATGGTGAAATGCCATATAACAATTGAAAATACAGGTTTATAGTTCAATTCAAATGTTGGAACTGGAAATTTAGATTTGAAAGGAATTGACACCAGAGTAGATGGATTTTATATTTCAACTTATTAAAATTTTTTAAAGATGAATGGGTCACATCAGAAAATAAATGGTAAATAATAAAGGGTTTTCCCTGATAAAATTCATATCAAGAAAGTTCTTCTCAGAATATATTTATCAAAATTCAAATTTTATAATCATTGTCAATTTCTCATTTCTTCTGGTCTCAGTTCAATTCAGCATGGTCTCAATGCTTCTATCTACAGTGGTAAATTAATCTCCTGAGATTTAATCAACAACTCTTTTTTTTCCCCCAAGAAGATATGTTCTTTGGTTTTCTTCCCACTATGTTTAAGCTAAATCCTTTTTGATATGCATTGGGGAGAAATTTCAAAGTGATACCTTTGACAATTCTCATCTGGGTTTTAATTAAGGCACTGCACAAAATGCCACCTGATATGTATGTTCTAAAGGCTCAGCATGTGTCAAAAAGAAGTTAGAGGTCAAAAAATGAAACAGGTATTTAATATTCTGGGAGCTTTAGAAGTTACAACTTCAGGTCTAAGGATAGCAACTAGAAAGCCTTGACAAAAGTTATATACAGTTGAACCTTCGAACTGCATAGGTTTGAGCTGTCCACTTATGTGCAAATTTTTTCAATAAATATACTGGAAAACTTTTTGGAGATTTGTGACAATTTGAAAAAACTCACAGATGAACTGCATAGCCTAGAAATATCAAAAAAATAAGAAAAAGATATGTCATGAATGCATAAAATATACGTAGGTACTAGTCTATTTCATTATTTACTATCAAAATATACAAAAATCTATTATAAAAAATTACAATTTATCAAAACTTACACACACACAGACCACATATGGCACCATTCATAGTCCAAAGAAATGTAAACAAATGTAAAAATCCAGTATTAAATAACTGCATAAATTAACTGTAGTGTTTACTGTAATACTATAATAATTTCATAGCCACCTCTTGTTGCTATTGTGGTGAGCTCGTGTTGTATCAGCTTAAAATGCCATGTGATGCTAATCATCTCTGTATGAGCAGTTTACCTCTCCAGTAAATTGCATACCACAGTTAAAAGTGATCTCTCACAGTTCCTGTGTATTTTTTATCGTGTTTAGTGCAATACCATCAACTTTGAATAACACCATGGAACCCATACAAAATGCCACTAGTGATGCTGGAAGTGCTCCCAAGAAGCAGAGAAAAGTCATAACTTTATAAGGAAAAGTTGAATTGCTTGATGTGTAGAGTAGGTTAAGGTCTGCAGCTGCGATTGCCCACCATTTCAAGATAAATGAATTCAGCATAAGGACCATTGTAAAAAAGGAAAAGGAAATTCATGAAGCTGTCACTGCAGCTCCAGCAGCAGGTGTGAAAGCCTTGCACTTTTTGCAAAATACCTTTTTATCTCATATTGAAAATGCAGCTTTTATATGGGTTCAGGGTGGCTATAAGAAAGGCATACCTATAGGCTCTAATTTGATTCAAGAAAAAGCAAAGTCATTATATGATAATTTAAAACAAAAGGAAGGTGAAAGATCTAAAGCTGGAGAATTTAATGCCAGCACAGTTTGATAATTTTAGAAAGAGGTTTGGCTTTTTAAAAATGCCAATATAATAGGAGAAGCAGCTTCTGCTGACCAAGAGGCAGCAGACAAGTTCCCAGACACCATTAAGAAAATCATTGAGGAGAATGGATATCTGCCTGAACAGGTTTTTTATGAAGACAAAAGTGCCCTATTCTGGAAAAAAATTCCATGCAGGACATTTATTAGTAAGGAAGAGAAGTGAGCACCAGGATTTAAGGCAGGGAGGGACAGGCTAACTCTACTTTTTATGCAAATACAATTGGGTTTATAATCAGGACTGCTCTTATCTATAAAGCTGCTAACACCCGAGCCTTGAAAACGAAAGATGAACACCAGCTGCCAGGCCTTTAGTTGTACAAGAAGGTCTGAACGATGAGAACCCTTTTTCTGGACTGGTTCCATAGATGCTTTGTCCCTGAAGTTAGAAAGTATCTTGTCAGGAAGGGACAGTTTTTTAAAGTTATTTTGCTATTGGACAATGCCCCTGGCCACCCAGAGCCCCATAAGTTCAACATCAAAGGCATCAAAGTGATCTACTTCCCCCAAAACACAACATCTCTAATTCAGCCTCTAGATCAGGGGGTCATAAGGACCTTTAAGGCTCATTACACATGGTACTCTATGGAAAGGACTATCAACACAATGGAAGAGAACCCTGACAGAACATCATGAAAGTCTGGAAGGATTACACCATTGAAGATGTCATGGTTATTTTAGAAAAAGCCGTGAAAGCCATTAAGCCTGGAACTGTAAATTCCTGTTGGAGAAAACTGTGTCCAGTTGTGTTACATGACATCACAGGACTTATGATAGAGCCAATCAAGGAAATCATAAAAGAGACTGTGGACATGACAAAAAAAGGTGGGGGGTGAGGGAAGGGTTTCAAGATATGGATCTTGGAGAGACTCAAGAGCTGATAGACACCACAACCAGAGGAATTAACAGAAGACCACTTGATGAAGATGAGTGCTTTCAAACCAGATGATGAGGAAGAGATGTAACAGAAGCAGTGCCAGAAAACAAACTGACATTCGATAATCTGGTAGAAGGGTTCCAATTATGCAACACTGCATTTGACTTCTTTTACAACATGGACCATTCTGATATGGGCACCAAAACTAAAGCAAATAGTGGAAGGTTTGGTCCCATGTTAAAACATTTCTAGAGAAATGAAAAAGCAAAAAAGACAGAAATTACAATGTATTTCCATAAAGTTACACTGAGTGTGCCTGCCTCTCCTGTCTCCCCTTCTACCTCCTCCACCTCTTCTGCCTCTGCCACCGCAAGATCAACTCCTTCTCTTCCTCCTCCTCCTCAGCCTACTTGAGGTGAAGACTATGAGGATGAAGGTCTTTATGATGATCCACTTCCACTTAATGAATAGTAAATAATCACTATGCTGTACTGTTAATAAACTTATCTGTTGTGTTTGTGTGTCTGCATGTGAAAATATAATAACTGTACAGCAAGAACTGTATGAGACGTTTTTGTGTCACAGTCATTATCACCTAAGTATTCACTGTGTAGAACATCATGTGCAAGACTTGTATATAAGTGGAAAGCCTATCCTTATATAGGAATAAGGTGAGTGATATTTAATATAAGATTAGTAATGTGTTAGTTTTCTTGCTATTTTATAACTTGTTTTCAAAGTATTACATTACTGTACAGTACGTCTCTCTCATAATTGGAGAAACAGTATCAGCCTATCATCACAATGATTTTTTTAAATGTAACAATGTTTCCAATACTCTATAATGAATATGACTGTATACTATATTTCATAAAAATTTTTGTAACGATTCATTCATTAGTGTATAGGCTAGGCTACCATAAATTAATTATATTGATTACACTAGGCTACCATAAAGCAATCATACTGCTGCTCCTTTATTATCAATGCATGAAGCATTATACCTGTAAATAAATGAATTTTTCACATTTTATTCATTTTTGATGTCTAGTGTAATACATATAACATCTACTGTGTTTTGTATCATGTAACACAATATTGATGTAGATACTGCCAAGACAGACAATTCATCTTGTAAATAGACGATGTAAACTTACGGTATAAATACAATATGGCACTGTAAATGTGTTTTCTCTTTCTCATGATTTTCTTAATAACATTTTCTTTTCTGTAGCTTACTCCGTTTTAAGAATACAGAATGTAATACATATGCAAAATATGTGTTAACTAACTGTTTACGTTATCAGTAAGGCTTCCAGTCAAGAATAGGTTATTAGGAGTTAAGTTTTCAGGGAGTCAAAAGTTACATGCAGATTTTCAACTGCATAGGGGGGTCAGTGCCCCTAACCCCCACATTGTTCAATGGGTCACCTGTATTTAAAAAATTAATTTATTTGGGGGGAAGTATAATGTTAAAACAAATGTAGAGCAACCCAGTGAAAACAATTTTGATTTCAAAACAAAAAAAAAGTTAAGGAGAGGTAGGAAAGGTAGCTACCAATTTAAAACAAAATATTCTGGAAGCACTATGATCTGTTTTTATTTTCAGGATAGAAGTGACAAAGCATGAAGAGGTAGAAAAATGAAAAGAGGAAGCAAAGTAATAAAAAATGGACAAATTAGGTAGAAAAAAGAAGTTAAGCAAAAATTCTCTTCAATCACAAAGACTATAGTGTTTATAAACAAATTTATGGCTCCTTCCTTCTTCTAAATCAGCATCCTTACAAAAGGGATGAAGGTGTTCCTCATGATCAGGATGACAATATAATTTAATGCCCATATTGGGGTATTTCTACCTAGGACAAATGCTAAACCAGATAAGCTACCAATACCACTGGTATAATCAGGAGTATCCCAGGCAAACCAAAATGACTGTGTAGTAGATTATGAGAATGAACACAATTCCTCACCCCTCTCTGTATCCCCATTTTTTGCAAAGACTTTACAGCTCCTCATATCAAGAGGTGGACTCGATTCCCCACCTGTCAACTCTGGTCTGACCCGATGATTTGTTTTTGGCCAGTATCGTGCAGCAGAAGTGAAGTGCCAGTCCTGAGCCTTGACCTCAAGACACTTTGAGAATCACTTCTTTCGCTCTTGAACTCCTGCCATCGCCATTAAAACAAATCCTGTTAAAGGATTAAACACCATCAGGAGAGCTAAGACAACCCTCCACCCCAAACCAATATCCAGTTAACACCCCCAGAAGCTGAAGAGCCTAGCTAACCTGCAGCTGACCATGAGAACCCAGCCAAGATCAGAACCACCCAACTGAGCTCAGCCTAATTGCCTCTAAAATCATAAGCAACATGAGCCACTGTTTTGGAGTGGTTTGTTACACAGAAATAACCAAAATGACTCACTCCCAGTGTGCCTACCACTTCAGAAATGCAGCAATGAAGTTTCCTACTATAGTGACCCAACCCAATCCATCTATACCTGGGGCAGGGTTAAGAAACCCAAGGCTCCTCAACCAAAGCCCTGGAAGATATTAAGCTGATGCTTTTTTTTTTTAAGTCTCTTACTTATAGTAACCAAGAATGCTCCATCCATAAATAATATTGGCTATCTTCAATGCTTACTTCTAGGAAATTAACATCTATTGATCTTAAATGTAACACTAATATCAACTTGCCTTTAAAATAGCCTATTATAGTCTCAATACCATTTTATTAACAAAAAAAGAACTATGAAGCATAGGCAGAGCAGATATCATTACGCTCATTTTACACATGAGGAAATCAAATCACAGAGTAAATTAAATGACTTTCACAAGTAGCAAGTGACCAAGCTACAATACTTATAACTACACCTACAAACTTTCAATACTCCTTCTTCTTAGAGCTCTTATGCTAAAATCTTGGGTCAGTATTGGCATATCATTTTTCAAGTATTCTGAGGCACTATTTCCTTTCTTATAAAAGTAGGGCTAACATGACTTAGCTCAGGATTGTTTTGAGAAACAAATAAAATAATGTATAAAAAAGCGCATAGCACAATGTCTAACACAAATGTTTAGGCCCCTTTCCCCCACTCACCATGATAAAGCTCTTTTCCAGGCTTCACAACCTCAACCCTCATCACTGAGCATCACTTGAAATGATAAACGTTCACATAGTTAGTATAGGCAAATTTTATTTTTATGGCAGAAGCATTTATTTCAGTTATAGAAAAATAACACTATTTCAAAGTCAAGGTAACTAAGAAGAAGTATATTTTTTCCTTATATACCCATACTCAAATGTCACATATGGTTTCAAGACATTCTTAAATTAACAAGGACCAAATGCAGAATCAAGGTAGTACCTGTCAATAGAAGAGATATACTAAGGCTACATATCAGCTCTGGAAATGGGAAAATACAAAGTGATCTCGTGCAGTGATTCTCAACTTTAGTGTGCATTAGAATCACCTGGATTGTGGAATAAATACCTTCAGGGGACTGAAGGCAAATCACCAAATTAAGCAAGCCCTTGGTCTCAGAATAAATACCAAAGGGACTAAAGATACATACTTTGTTGCACAGGGAGGGGCAAAGACGAAATACATCATGATATATGAAATTAGCCATTTACACACTGTATGACTTCTAAGCCTCAGATTCAGGAATAATAATAGATACTACTCTCAGTTTTCTACAGATTAGGTCAGGTAGTGTGCAGTGATTCCCTAATTCAAAACACACAGCTACTATCATTATTTCATCACCATCATCATTACTATTGGATACAAGGACATTCTCCCCCCACCCCCACTCCCAGTTCCAAACAGCTATTATCTATTTTAAAAATCAAATTACCACTTACCGAGTTCAAGCTCATTGACTACGGGTACCATTTTTAAATTGGTAACATTTTTACTAGCTTCAACCACTTACATTAAGATTTCAGTACATGGCTGAAATGAAAATTTTTGTCTAAACTAAGACAATGGAGTCAAAGAAGGGTAACTAACTAAAGCTTAAAAAGTGTGCGTGGTATCTAAAGCATCAATAGCTAGACGAATGAACTGCTTTTCAAAGTGACTCACTTTAGACAATCTCTGATGTTCCCTACAGTTTTCTGACTCACGTTATTTACAGATGGAAACATATGAATAAAATACCTATAATCTTCATTACTTTCTATATTCAATATACTACACAGTAATGTTTCATAGTTAAAGTTCTGGGCCATTTAAGTAACTCCCACATAAATATCTGAGGTTTTAATATTCTGAAACTGAAACAAAGCTGAAGAGGTGCTCAGTCAGGCTAGGACAGGGTTTCTCAACCTCAGCAATGTTGACATTTTGGGTTGGATCATTCTTTTTTGTGGGGGACTGTCCTGTGCATTGCAGGATATAGGCATCCCTGGTCTCTCCTTACTACATGCCAGTAGCAACGTGCCCCACTGCCCAGTTTTGACAACCAAAAATGTCTCCAGACACTGCCAAATATCTTTTGGGAGCCAAAGTTACCCCCAGTTGAGAACTATTGAGCTAGAATTTTACAGACATAATTGTAAATTCTGAGTGCACAGATTAGACAAGACTATGTAATTTTACTAATTTAAAGAGTATAGCACAATAGTTTTTGCTATACTGTTTACGCAAGGGCACATAGTTTCTATACAATATACTACTTAAGCATATAATTACCCACAAATAACTTTTTCCTATTGAAAACACTAATTTTTTTTTTTTTTTTTTGCGGTACGCAGGCCTCTCACTGTTGTGGCCTCTCCCGTTGTGGAGCACAGGCTCCGGACGCGCAGGCTCAGCGGCCATGGTTCACGGGCCCAGCCGCTCCGCGGCATGTGGGATCCTCCCGGACCGGAGCACGAACCCGTGTCCCCTGCATCGGCAGGTGGACTCTCAACCACTGCGCCACCAGGGAAGCCCTGAAAATACTAATACTAAACAGGAAAAAAAAAAAAAAATACAGCTAATCCTGCTACCGTTTTTATATTATCTAAGTCTGTGGTTTACAAACGATCGATAAATGGAGATCTAGATAGATCACTGCAAGTGTCCTTCCTTCTGCATTCGTAGTCTCTCTTTCTCTACTTGTAAGCGCTCCTTTTCAATCTGCAGCTTCTCTGATTCAAATTTTAAAAACTGCAGCCTATCTTTTTCCAGTTGCAAGCGTTCTCTCTCAAGTTTTAACTTCTCTGTCTCTATATCCTGTGGTTGATATATGGACTTTTCTCCTTGACCAAGTTCATTTTCCAAAGATGGTTTCTCTGAGGTGACTATCTGTAACCTCAACCTCTCTCTTTCAATCTGCAGCCGCTCCTTCTCCAGCTGAAGCCGCTCATGCTCCATGTCTAACTGTCGCAGCCTCTCTTTCTCAATCTGTAGGCGTTCCTTCTCTACCTGCAGTCTTTCAGCCTCAATATCAAGCCGTCGTTTTTCCAATTCTAGTTTCTGTTTCTCTATGTTTACAAGCAAATGGGGCTCATCATATGCAGACCTAGATGGTGTTGAATTCAGAGTAAAAAACTCATCAATGTGGGGGAAATCAGGAAGCTCACTTTCCCTCCTGGAATCTGGTATGACTGATGACAACATTTCTTCTTCCTCTTCAATCTCAAACTAAAAGAGAAAAGTAGTTCTCAGTATTTATTTATGCTTCATGGTTGTTAATTTGTCTAAGAATTTCTTGAAAGCTTTCTGTATTGTTTGAGCACACAAACCCATTTACTTTGAATTTTGAAAAATATTTACTATTACCTGACATCATTAATATATATAATTAAGAGAAGTATATTTAGGTGAGAAGAAAGAGATTGATGATATTAAGATGGAAAAAAATGGAATGACTTTGTTATGTACTATTTTTAAGTTAGCCTGAAAATCTGGGAATTTAACTGTTCCTGGTCTATAATAAACTTTCATATCAGAAATGGAGAAATAAAAAGAGGGTTCACACAGGCTAATACTTACTTCAGGACTCTGTGGATCTCTTTCTTCCTCTTCCACTTTGACCTCAGTTAAGGATCCACCTGCATCCCTGAAATCTGCCACATTTTGCCAATCAAAATTTGTATCATTTCGGAATCCAATCTTTTCATCTATCTCTTCAGTGAGAGAATCATCTAAATCGGATGTGGGAAGGGGAAACCCCGAACCAACTAGCTTAATGTTCGCCTTCATCCTCTTTCTCTTCATAAGTGCTCGCCAGTCAAGGTACCTCCTTTTCACTTCTGTCCCTGTTCTCTGTTCTCCTTCTCCTACAGCATTCACACACTGTGCAATCTCCTCCCAAGCCATTCGCTTCATCACATTAATTGTTGTATTGAGCTGCTTGGAAAAAATGACTTCTTTCCTTTTTGTAATTTCTTTCAAAAGGGTCTGAGTTTCTTGTACACTGAAATTGCTTTTCCTTTTCCTTTTCAGTTGCTTCATTTTCTAACTTAAATGCAGTTTTTACAGTAAGAAAAGATGTAAAAAGAATTCTGAGGAATGCTACGAAGTACAGAAATCAAGGACAATTCCTTGTTAGTACTTTGTTTAAATCAGAGTTTTCCATTCATCCAATAGCACAGGCAGGATGGATGATTCCTAAAGAGAAAAAAGTAAAAATCAATCAACCTGCAACTTCTGCAATGTACTTCAACCCAATAAGCTATATAATTAAAAAAACAAAAGACCTCTAAATATGGCTCAAAACTGACTATATTTGTCTCTCTGCCAGCATTACCACAGTCCAAGATACCGTTTTCTCTCACCTAGGCTGCTGTAATGGTTCCGAACTAATTGACAGTATTCACTCTTGACTTGCTCCCTACTTCTACTCTACTCTCCCAAATTCATCCTTTCTACTCTAACTACAAAGGCCTTCTTTCAGTCACCCATTCTTGTCAGTCCCTTTCCCAGTTTAGGGCTTCTGCACATACTGTTCCCTCTGCCTAGGAAATGGATTGTTCCCTGCCTAGCCTACTTAATTCCTCCTCATCCTTCAACTTGCAGATTAGACATCTGCTCCTCAGTGATGCCTTTGCTGACAAGTCAAATTACTCCTTGTCTTCATCTAAATGTTACACTTGTGCTAACATACAACTAAGAATGTCTCTCCCATTTCAACAGAAGTTTCATGAGGACAGCAACATTTCTACTCACCATGATGTCCCCAGAGTCTAGCAGAGATCCTGGCATATGGCAGGCATACCATAAACTTTTTGAATGAATAAATGAGTCAACCTGCCAAAATGACCATTAGTTTGGGATGTCAAAAAGCAAAAACATTTAGACTCTGAAAGAGGGTGTACCTGAAACTTGTTAGAAAGGTAAACTTTTCAGGCCCCACCCCAGACCATTTGAATAGGGAACTCTGGGGGCAAAATCCAGCAATGTGTGTTTCAATAAGCCTTCCAGATGATTCTAATACATGCTAAAGTTTGAAAACCATGGGGCTGACTCACACCAGTGAAACAAATGCTTTACACACCTGATTCTCTTACAGACTCTGATTTCGAGTGTTATAAATAGTGCATCTGTTTGGTGGAATCTAAAGCACATCCAAATCCTCAATACAATAGCTGGGAAATGTAGTTTTTCTGCTATCTAGCCTTTGCATTATGGGAAGGCACACTAGCAAACTGGAAAAGATGTTGAATGGGTCTTTTTCTTGGAAAAGAGATTTTTAAAAGTATGTAATGGGGACAAGGGCTCAGAAAGAGTAAGGGATATATAAACAAACCATGGTTTATGACTTCTAATTCACATACTGATCACTGCTACAGAGCCGATTTTTTTTCCCTTGCTTACAAAATGAGAGGGTTGGGATGAGGCTGTTAAGGTCCACATTTCCTGCCAATACAAAGAAAAAAATACCAAATATCCATTAAGTTCCATGTCCTGTCATTTAATCCCCACCACAGCACTGAATGCGAGATACCATCATTTGCATTTGTATTTACACAAGATTCAGGCAAATTGAATAATTTGCACATCACATGGCTAGTTAAATGACCGAACTTGGATATAAATTCAGGCTCCCTTAGGCCACATCTCCTTCCACTTTATTAGCAGCTTGTGATAGCTAAATCTTAGAAATGTGTTGCTAAGTTTTGAGATGCCTTTTAGTAGAAAATTTTCAGAAAGAACAGATCCTTATCTATGTGGAAGGTTTGGATAAAGTTCTGTATATAGGCAGAAAAACTCTCCAAAGTTTCAACCAGTTATGTTTCACTCTACCATGGTTTCTTCTCTTAAAAACTTTAATATCTGCCAGTTTAAAATTTTTATTAGAGTGAAAAATTTTTCCCTTGTAATTAAAAATATAAATAGTATTTTCTACTGAAGCAAAAATACAGCAACTGAGTAAGGCTAACTAAATTTAATCAGAAAATGGACTAATCTTTTCTATCACTGTTTGAGCCTCTTCTCTCTAGGACTTAAAAGTGGATGCAAATCCCTTATTTCTAAACTCTAATAAAAAGGTAATTTTTATTAAGATTTCACTAAACTTCTATGCATTTTTTCCTTTTCAAGTTTCCAGTAATCTTTTTCAACTGTGTATCTAATAACATCACCAAAAACATACCCACCACTACGTCGTTTTGTTTCTAACCTCTGATGTAGAATAGCCATCTTCTGAACTGCCACTTGCTGCTGAAATGGAGACTAGAGAGAACTAAAAGTTCAAAAGAGTAGAAAATAAACTCTCAAGAAATCATTGTCAATTTCATACCTCCACAAAAAGGGCAAAGCATGCAAAAACAAAAAAAGATTGCAGCAAACTATGCCTAAAGCAGACTTCCAAAATTTCTTGAGACATTTAATAATAAAATTGAAATCCACTAAATAAGAATGTATAATCAGTGGCAGCACTTTTGATCTTGCCCTAGGCAAATCCTGCCTTTATAGTCAAATATAAGCCTCTTGTCACTAGAATATAAGCAAACATATTCATACAAAAACCATAATTCAAAAAGAGACGTGTACCACAATGTTCACTGCAGCACTATTTACAATAACCAGGACATGGAAGCAACGTAAGTGTCCATCAACAGATAAATGGATAAAGAAGATGTGGCACATATATACAATAGAATATTACTCAGCCATAAAAAGAAACGAAATTGAGTTATTTGTAGTGAGGTGGATGGACCCAGAGTCCGTCATACAGAGTGAAGTAAGTCAGAAAGAGAAAAACAAATACCGTATGCTAACATATATCTGTGGAATCTAAAAAAAAAAAAAAAATAGTACTGATGAACCTAGTGGCAAGGCAGGAATAAAGATACAGACATAGAGAATGGACTTGAGGACATGGGGCAGGAGGGGGAAGCTGGGATGAAGTGAGAGTAGCATCGACATATATACACTACCGAATGTAAAATAGTTAGCTAGTGGGAAGCAGCAGCATAGCAAAGGGAGATCAGCTCAGTGCTTTGCAATGACCTAGAGGGGTGGGTGGGATAGGGAGGATGGGACGGAGGCTCAAGAGGGAGGGGATATGGGGACATATGTATGCATATGGCTGATTCACTTTGTTGTACAACAGAAACTAACACAGTATTGTGAAGCAATTATACTCCACAAAAGATCTATTAAAAAAAATATATCATCAAAAGAGGTAGTGTGTGTAATGGTTATGAGCACACGTTCTGCAGTCAGACTGCCTGGGTTAGAATCCTGACTCTGCCACTTCCTAGCTGTGTGGCCTAATTTAAATTCCCTATGTGCAATTCCACTTGTAAAATAATATTATTACTTCATAGAGATACTGTAAGGATTAAAGGTTTTAGTAAAATATGGAATAGTTCCTGGAACACAGTTAGCAAATTAGGTTCACTATTATTGCACGAAAGGCAAATCTTTAAATAATTTTGACATAGGAAACAGAAAGGGCACAATAATATTGGTATTGTTCTAGTTCGTAGGTCAAGTGGTAGGTCTGTGGGTCTTTATCATTAAGCTTTATAACATTAGTGGTATATTGGAGCCTGTTGATGTGAGCTGGCAAAGGTCATTGTGCACATCTCTTCCCAACTCCACATTCAGTAATGTCATATTTGGAAATAGAAACTGGCCAAGATGGCAGTATTTACAACATAGAACTGGATAAATGTTACAAACTAGAACATTTTTCTTTTGAGTGGTCAGGGAGTTAGTTTACTAGCACACTTAAAGCTACATGATTTTTGCATATTTCAAATACTACCTAATAAAAATTAAGAAAATGCAATGTTTTAACATCTGATCCCACAACAGTTTAGTGAACATTCTAGAAGACTTGCAATTTCAGAGGATCACATTTAATTAGCACTGACCTAACATTCCTTATGTAATTCAAGTTATCAATTGGGCTGGGCAAGTATTCTGCTTTTCTCTAGAGGCAACTGAAGAATACTCATGAAATACTATATTTATAAGCAACACAAAAAAGGAACTGAACCTAACTGATTTACACATTATTAAACCAGCCCAAATATACTTCTCTTTAGTACCTATGTTGCGGTTGTGGCATATTTCAAGGAATTACTGCAGTCAAACTTGACTTTCTCCTTCCTCTACCATTTGCTCCACCCCTATGAGGAGCTGGAAGATGGTAGCCCACCTGCTCCAAAGGCAGTATCCTGAACACATAACACTGTGCCTAACAAACAGAAGGAGGTAAAAATACAACTTAAAATAAGGCAGTGATTGAGGGATGGGAAAAAGAGCAGAAGAAGAAATGGAAAATAACTCAAGTAAGGTCAGCTAGCAAAACTGAAACTGCTATGGGCAAAGCGTATGTTTAAAAGGAAAAGGCAGCTCAAGTCAACATAGGCAAGAAGCAGTTTATGAGATTAAGTGAAGACTTTAGATAAACTACCTACCCTATAACTATGCCAAAGAATATAACAGTTAACAAGTTATACAAAATTCTGAAAGGAAATTTTAAATAAATAGGCTATGTTACTACTTAGGCAGTATGAACCAATGATGAGCAGGTTATCAAAGACATATTTAATAAATGAAATCAGCAGGTTAGATGTCCTTAAAAATAGAACAGATTGCTAAAGTTACATCAAATTCCATATCAAATTACTTACAATGCATTAAAGAAGACTTTTTGTTTCCAAAAGATACAGAATGTTTCAGACCATTTAAATAGCTTCTTGAACCATTTAAAAAGCACTGTCATATTTAAAAGGTAGAAGCATGGTAAAAATACAAATATTCATCAATAAGGGATTAGATGAATAAGCTATACTACAGCTACATAATGGAATATGATGCCCAATTAGAGTATGAATATGGCTTAGCACAACATTTTACTATGTTAATGCAAGCCAACAAAACCAGAAAAGGAATGTGTACATATGTCTATGTGTGTGTACATACTCACAGAAGCTCAGTTTTCAACTTAGGAACATTTATAGACAGAACATGCTATGCTCTACAACAGGTTCACTCACTCTGTCCACCACCAACCACCAGTTCTAGGGATCATGTATACAGTCATTTGTCTCAATCATAGAGCTGTTTGTTTGCCTAGAGCACATCTGTTTCATTTTACTTTGAGGTGATTAACATTATATTAAAAATATATTTATGAGGGATTTTTATTACAGAAAAATACACTTTTTAAAGTTCCATAAACCCAATACCCACAAATCTCTGTTGACTTAAAAAAAAAAACAGTAAAATACATAGATATGGTTAGAGAACCTAAATAAAGCAACAAAATTAAGTGAAAATCTCTCTCCACCACCAGTGTAATTGATATTAATAATTTCTTGAGATGTTTCCCAGAAAATCATATGAATATAAAAGTACATATGTACTTATGAAACATTATATATTACACATATTACATGAATGCATATTAATTCCATTCATTAATTTAAAAAGCAGTGACTGGGCTTCCCTGGTGGCGCAGTGGTTGAGAGTCCGCCTGCCGATGCAGGGGACACGGGTTCATGCCCTGGTCCGGGAAGGTCCCACATGCCACGGAGCGGCTGGGCCCGTGAGCCATGGCCACTTGAGCCTGCGCATCCGGAGCCTGTGCTCCGCAACGGGAGAGGCCACAACAGTGAGAGGCCTGCGTACCACAAAAAAAAAAAAAAAAAAGCAGTGACTGTTGAAGATGTTGAGTTGTAAAATTATAAGAAAATGAAAGGAAAATTGAAAACAGAAAAATGAGGTGTATATGAATGATTCTAAAGGACAAATGAAGAGACAAAGAGGAAATCATGAATGTAAAAACTTACCACCCTCTACAATGAAAAATAATCAACAAAAAATGAAGAAAAATTATGAAATTGAAAAAATTCTAAAGATGTTGTCTCTCAAACCTTATGTATTTGAATATCTGGAGCGCTTATTAAAATGAGATTCTGATTCAGTAGGTCTGGAGTGGGACCAGTGATTCTACATTTCTGACAGATTCCCAAATGATGCCAATGTTGCTGGTCCTTGGACTACACCAATAGAAATAGGGATCCACACACGTAATTTAAAATCTTCTAGTAGCCTCAGAAAAGCAAAAATGAAACAAAACCAAAGAAAGTGTAGAATTAATTTTAACATATTTAACCCCATAAGTTCAATATATTATCTTTCCAATATATGGTCGATGTAAAAATGATTAATGAGGGAGTTTCCATTCTTGTTTTGCTACTAAGTCTTTGAATCTAGTGTATATTTTACAGTTAGAGCACATCTCATTTTGTACTAAACACATTCTAAGAACTCAATAGCATATATTAGTACAGGTCTACAGCACATCAAAATCACCTAGGGAGCTTTTAAAAAATACTTATAACCAGTCCCTATCTCTGAGCAATTAAAACAATCTTAAAATACTGCTAGGCATTGGGAGTTTAAAAAGTGCTCTAGCAGATATTAAGCATTCTCAACACATACACACACACAAGAGTTAACTATGTGAGGTGATGGATGTGTTAATTATCTCTATCTTGGTAATCATTCCATAATGTATTATGTATATCATCATGCTGTATATTTTAAACATATACAATTATATTTACCAATGATTCTTCAATAAAGTTAAAAAAAATCTTCTCCAGGTGATTCTCATTTGCAGCCAGGATTGAGAAGCACCCCGCTAGAGAATCAGTGTTAAAAGTCTACTTGCTCAAATGTGTACTGAGAGGCAAGATGGAGTGCAAATGTTGTAGCTGCTAAGAAATTTCCCTTCAGAGATCATTAAGGCTTCATCTGCCACAAGACTTACAACAACAGACAAAGCTGGACTCTTTTCGGAAAAATATGCCCAGGAGAAAGTCATGTTAGGTGGAAGAGGAATATGTCTAATTGTAAGAACCGATTCACACTCCTATGTGCTGGGAATACATCAAAGGAATACAAGCTAAGTCAATTTAGACTTAAGTAGATAACCAAACTCTCTTTAGATAACCAAACTTTCTTTTAAGTCTTTAGACAGCTACCCATATCTTTATTAGAATTAGGACTGAACTAGGAGTATACACTGGAAACATCCATTAAGATTGAGTGATTAAGACACAATGCTTCATTCAACAAATATGTATTGAGTGCTTAAAACCTTTCAAAGGATTTGTACACATTTCGGAGGTAAATTTACTCTCCCTAGTCTTACTCTCTCTCTCCCTATTACAAACCCTGAGTCCTACCTATATATCTTCGTATCTACCTTTGCCAATTTTATCACCTCCAATACTAACCCCAGACATACTTTCCCAACCCACCCTCTCCAATACACGTCAGTATGGGCACACACAGTATGTCATTCTGAAATTCCTCTAAATTCTAGACCAGTGCTGTCCCATACAAATATAATGAGAGTCACATATATAATTTTAAATCTTCTAGTAGCCACATTAAAAAAAGTAAAGAGAAACAGGTAAAAATTAATTACGATATATTTTATTTAAACTAATATACCAAAATATTATTACTTCAATATTTAAACAATATAAAAACAATCGAGACATTTTA